GGAGGGTCCTTACTAGCAACTTCTATATCCACCATAGGACAGACCAATCTCCTGCTGGACTCGATAGTCAAAATTATTGCGATGCAATTAACATGATTTATTTCACACCGATATCTCTTTATCCAATATTTAAGAGATTTAAGAGATGATGTGGTTGAACTGTCAATTTTCTACAAGATTATAGTTGAAGCAGTCCTGACAGAATACTTGTAGTACAGCTTCACAACCCACTTCTTCATGTGAAACACTCTCCAACAAGTTGATGATGAGCCCTAAATCTTTGATCCTTAGAATATGGAAATTTAAAAACCACTTTAACTCTCATATTTTGGACCAGGGTTGCTAGAACACTCACGTTAATGGCTACTGGTACCCTAGAACAATTTCTCAAAGACTTTCATTTTGTAGAAGGATCCATTACACAGGGGCATAGCCTTAAAATCAGAACCAAGGCAGTTACAAAGGAGATCAGGAAATATTTCTTCACACAAATGGTTGTGAAGATGTGGAATGTTTTACCTCAGGAAATGCTGTTGAGGTAGAAGCAAAGAGGATGTTTAAAAGATGGCTTTACCTAGACCCTTCTGCTTATCTAACTCGGGCCTACTGTGTATCCCTGCCCTTCTGAATCATCTTTTGTTAGCCGAGCATTCAGAAACAATGCCTGGTACCTCTGGAACTATCCCCCACTACCCCACTCTACCCTTCTATCTTGCCTCTTTTCTATCTCTCTAAGTTCCTCTTTCGTCACATCACATTCACCTTACCCCTTCACTCTCTCTCTCCCTACCATTTTGTTCAGTATCCAACCATCTTTATGAAATGCTCTGACGTTATGCTGTAGAAGGGTACTATATAAATATAAGTTCCTCTTCTTCTCTGTTCCAGCAGCTACTGGAGTTTCTTTTCAGAAACATAACTATTGGTTATAACTGTCTCCCTAAACACTTTTTAAAATTTCATTTACCAACCTGGCTAACAAGAAGCTTTGCCTTTCTCTTTATGCAATGAATCACAATGTTGCTGAAGGCTCCAGTATCAGAATATCAATTCAGTTCAGCTTGCATGGAGCATAAAATACTAATTATGGAGTACACTGCTCACTGACACTAAGTTTCAGATTCTAACTAAAATAAGAATTAAATAAAGTGCAAACTCTCCCACCCGTGGCAGCTCTAAATTATATATTTTAATAAATAAATGACCAATTTCACCTTTGCCACTCTTGCACATCCCTAATAAGCAGCCCTGGATAAGGGAGAAACTATTTAATAGTGTCTGATATTGAAATATAAAATATGTCAGGTTAGATTTTTGTGAAATCAATGAACAACTGACCATTTCAATTTGATTTTAAAATACTCAGTATCACAACTGCGAGTGCATCAAAAAACATTACATATGTTTTTAAACTTTAATAAGATTCAGCCATCTTGCCATTAGCTTAGGGACTGTTTTTAATGTTGCTCTGTCTGCTGACACTCAGTCTTAACAAAGTGGGCTTTGCTCACCCAGAAACAAAAAACCTTCAAAAACAAAATTGTCAGAAACGGTTTGATAAAATCATAACAGTGGAAAAGGTTCCCGAGGAGCTGTTTGGCACAGTAAATGAGTTACCATACTGCCTTTCTACGTTTAAACCTGGTCTTAAAAACTGTATTGAGTAGATGGATCAGATTAAAGTCTTCTCTCCATGGAAAGGTGCTTAAAAAAATGCTGTACTGAGACAACTTGGAGTAATTCAATAGACTTCCTTTGTAGATCCGAATCAGGTTGATATATTTGTTTGTCAAGCTAAACCAGCTCCAATAACATGTTCAGAGGAATTCTTAGATAAAGGATCGTAAACTTTTGGAATGGAAAAGAGGTAGAAATTCATGTCCAAGAAGCATGGTAATGAATTTTGAGTCACTAATTAATTTTCAAGGAAAAGATTTAGAAATCTTCTTATGAAATTAGTTCCATTTTTAAGGTTGTAAATAATCATTTGACCCAACATCAACAAACAAATTACATTTGTAAAGTGCCTTTCACATCGGAAGGACATCTTAAGGTGCTGGACAGTCAGGGATTTGGACCCAAGCTATCCTTCCACCCCACATGGGATCAGGTGGGGTGGAAGGATAGGGTGGTCGAATGCACGGTCGAAGAGGAGGGTGTTGAGATGTGCTTTGAAGGAGACAAGGGAAGGAGCAAGACGAAGGGACTGGGGGATGGAGTTCCAGAGGGTGGGGGAAGAGAAGCTGAAGGCCCGTCCGCCGATGTGGGGCGGCTGGGAACCAGTCAATACTTATTGGCCCATTATGATGAAAATTTCATATTGCAAAATAAAGCACTAATCTGAGAGCTTTACATTTTAAATGGAAACAAGCCAACAATTCAAACAGCTATGTTCTACGTTGGAGCTGTGTGAAATCAGAACCATCTTTAAATGTATCCATCTCCTAGTCTCCCGTCAATATCTTCTCACCAATGGCTCTGACCTGAAATTTCCCATCCTATCCCTCAGACTCGCTATACTTCTTAGCTCAGCTGACTTTGCCTATTTGCATGTCCCTCATTCCCTCCGCTCCACCATTGGCGGCCGTGCTTTCAGCCACTATGTCTCGCAACTGGAACACCCTATCTCAGTCCCTCCGCCTTACCCTCTCCTTGCCCTTCTTTAGTTTGCACCTGAAGACCTTCCTGTTTGACTGTGCATGTAGTCACTTCACCATCTCCCTGGCTTAGCCGCAAGCTCCACCACTGTTAAGTGCTCCAAGACGCTACCCTGCAGGGAAAGGTGCTGTATAAATGCAGGTTGTTGTTTCAATCAATGGTCAATAATGTATCCCAAATTGCTAGCTGCTGTTTCTTACAGTTTTCTGCCCTCTCCTGATGTTTCTTTTGCTAGCCATTAGTATATTACTCTCATCTTCGTGCTTTGTTACCCCACACCTTTTAAAGTGATTTTGCTTAAGCCTTTGGGTTGTTTGACGGCCTTATTCAGTCACCATAAGTATTCAACATGATAATTCTCTTTCTCAGGGGGACATACTGTACTTCTTTTCAATTGAAAATTCTTCCCCCCACCCTCCGATTGTGCTTCCTAATAATTTTCCCAAAGATGAGGCAGGAAGGACAACTGGTTCCCAGATCAAGCTTTGAGAGTATGAACATATGTGCTATCAAGGGCTAATATTTTCCCTTGTTTTTGAAGGAAATCTTCACATTCCTTGATCTTGATCCAGCTGATTGGAACTTTAGCCCTGACCATGGATTACAGATGAGGTTTCAACAAATATACAGTTCATTGACTCTCACTTAACCAAAGAGGGTTTGTTGATTTAAGACCAGGGACCATGGGAATTAGTTTGTTGTTGGAAACAGACTTGATTTTCGTTCAAAAGTTCACAGCCTATCTGAGAAACAACAATTAAAGGGGTGAACTTGGATTTGTACCTCTGGCTTGCTGAAGATTGGTAGTTGATATTGGGATTTAGTCTGGAAATGTGCTTTCTTATCCTATCTATATTGCTTTGTATTTCGCATCTAACAAAGGTGGCTATCAGTGCAGTACATCTTTCATTAAACTCGGGCTGTGAACCAAAGCCAGTACTTAGTTTTATTGAGACCTGCTCGAACTCAATACCCAGTTTGTCTTACTTGTCTAATAACCTATCACAGTATCTAGACCTTTACAGAAACAAGTGATAACGAAATGAATAGGCTTGATAATACACATTGCAAGTAATGTAAAATAAATTGTGTGGTATTGATATTTTTAGGTTTGTTATTTCTGATGTGAGTAAACTTGTAAAATCAATGTGAAATAATATTATTGAGGTAGTGTTGGGAGCAGGTGCTACATTGCCACATGAGTGTTTGTCCTGGATAAGGGCATGTATATGCATACAACTAGGGCAGAAACAGATGGCTGTCTGACCTTGGCACTTGGATACATAGCTAAGTAATTTCAAAGAGGCCAGAAGAGTTTTCTGATTAATAGTAAAAATAATGTTTGAAAGGTTATAACTTATTTTGTTCAATCCTCAATTTCAGTAGTTTTAACATCACTGCTACCAGTTCTTAATCTTTCAATTCACAGAGAGAATAACTATCCCTAAATTTTGTTATTACGAACATTGTTGCCCAATCTAGACTGTTCTCTCAGTGAAAGAGAGTCTGGTAGAAAATGGTGCAAATATTAATTTAACCTTAATTAAAATGCTTTATATATGACATGTAATGCTTGATACATTTGCAGAAATATGTATTGAATATACAATTGTATGGTGTTTTTAGGCAGTGGAACAATGTTTAGGCAGGCTATCCTCCCAATGTAAAAGGCGCTATACAAATATAATTTGTTGTCGTTGTTTGTGTGTCCCTGATGGCAACATTTTATTATTTGTTTTGTTCTTATACATTGTGGACTAGTAATAGGCACAGCTGAGAAAAATAGCTCTCCAATACTGAATTGTAAGAATATTCATAAATCTTGTTTTTAACTTAAAGTGAAATCTGACCTTTTTCCCATAATAAACCAATATTTTCCTGATACCATAGCCACCAAGCAAGGTTGTGTCGAATTGTTCCCAGACTTTTGCTAGTACTGTTCTGAATTTCTGAATTGGTAGCTATAAAATGAACCGTAATTGTGCATCAATAAAACGTGAATAGAATGAATACTTTAATTTGCCCTGATCAAAAAGGTAGAAATAGGAGAAATTGCATTATGGTAAACTATTTATATTACTATTATTAATCAGGAGTAGAGGCACTTAATGTGACCAATTCGACCTTCAGTCTTGTTAGAATTCAAGTATCTGTATTTTGTTATTCTGAACTCAAATCTGTAAAATGTACATTATTAATCTAGTGTTATTATTTTGAAGGAGCTTGTTTTAAGGACTTGTATTAAATATATGTGAGGTCTTCTAGCTTGAATTGGTTTTCCATCTTTTTATTCAAATGATCACTTCAGAGTTGAAATTGTACCTATTCTTTTTTTAATTCAGTTGCTGGAAGGAAGCTTTGCCCGTGAAGTCAGCCATGAAGTGGATGGATTGATTTTTCAACCAACCGGGGTAAGATTAATTGATGCACGAATATGTTTTGAAAGTTGCAGATTCTGGTTTATAGCCTCAACTGAGAGTCTTGATTTATTAGCGGTATGGTTAGTAAAATATGAAAAATTTCTGTGAAATATTCTCTGTGCAATGTATGTGAGTGTTTGGATTTCCATGTAATGTCTTCATTACTTTCACAATACTTTCAGGATCTTTTTGAAATCTCGATGGAGTATACTTTCAAAGTGAACATTTACAAGTTACTTTTATGCAAGAGTAGGGAATTTAATCATAAACACTTTTGAATTCCAATTGTGGACTAGGAATTTTTAATCTGATGAAATTGAACTCAACTGGGATTAATATTCTATCATTTATGTTGCGTTGATAAGGAATTAAGCTTTTTTAATATTTTCATTTGGGTGTTAACGATAAAATTCTGATATGGCACATAAGCTATGAAAAGTGAAAACTCGCTAGTATTTCATTAAATCTTTTATATGAGGCAAATCTTAAAATGTACTGTTTTTATATTCTTCCCCTTTGTGGAATGATTTGTTTTGAGGTTGACATTTTAAAGAATGAAAGAGCATATTTATACGGTTGTATATAATCTAGTATTCAGCAGAAATTTGAACATGGACAGCATAGGAATTTGTCTATGTGGACAACATAGCAACACAATGCCTTTATGGATGCACCAGATGATAGGTTAGTACTGTTGTTTCACAGGTGCAGTGTTACCAGCTGGATTTCTCTACTGGAGCAGGATACCATTCAAACATACTGAAACTTAACAACTTTCTTAAAAGAAATTACATGAAATGTGATCTTAAATATGTTCCACTGTGTAAAAGTAACATTTGGTAAAATATTCTTTTCAAAACTCAAGCGTGAAGTTAATTAACAAAAAATCATAAGAAATGCTAGACAAAAAAAAACAAGGTTCATCTAGTTTGCCTTCCACCTTCCTGGAGGTCGCTTGCACATGTGTTCTGAACTACCTATGTACTGTACCCCATAATGTTATTTCCTAAAACAAAACTATCTAATCTGTGTTTCAAGGAATCAACACTTCCTGCTTTAACCGTCTCTCAAGGGAGCCTGTTCACCACCCATGGTGCACACTCCATCTTGCTAAGCCAGTCTGGAATCTTAAAGATTAAAGACATAAAGATAACATAAATACTACAGGAAAGAAAAAGGTAATAGGAAGTTATCACAAAAGGTGTAACAAGTCCAAAAGTGTGAGAAGAACATCTTCAGGGCGTATAGGCATGTTGGGGACAGTTACCCAAGTAAGATGTGAGACTTATAGCATGAGAAGTAAAACAAATGAGTTAGAAGCACAAATTCAGCTTAAAGGGTATGATGCAGTAGCCATTACAGAGACCTGGTTACAAGCTAGGCAGAACTGGGAGCTAAATATTCCAGGCTTTAAGATCTTTAGACCGGATTTTGGGGAAGGAGGAGGAGTAGCAATATTGATAAAATATACTATTACAGTTATGGAAAGGAAAGATTTCAGTAAGGGCAGTCAGGTAGTGGAAACACTGTGGGTAGAATTAAGAAACAGCAAAGGAGGAAGACTGTTGGGAGTAGTCTACAGACCTCCAAAGAGTTGTGATATAGTGGTGAAATGTATAAATACGGAGATCAGGGAAGCATGTAGCAAAAGCATTGTGGTTATAATGGGAGATTTTCATTTCCACATAGACTGGGAGAAGCAGGACACCTCAGGTAGTAAAGGCAACGCATTTCTAAAATGTATTCAGGATAGTTTTTTTTGGAACAGTATCTTTTAGAACCAACAAGGGAACAAGCCTTACTGGATTTGGTAATGAGCCAGAACTAGTTAGCAATTTGACTGTAAGGGAACATTTTGCAAATAGTGGTCATAATATGATTGAATTTGACATTGGATTTGGGAGAGTCCCAAACCAAGGTTTGAAATTTAAGTGAGGCAAACTTCGATGGGGTGAGAAATATATTGACTACAGTAAACTGGGCTGAACTGTTAGTGGGTAAACCTGCAGATGAACAATGGGAAGTCTTCAAAAAGTATTTGATACAATACAGAACAAGTACAAACCCCTAAATAATAATAATAATCCTTGCATTTGATATAGCGCTTTTCACGTCGGGAGGACGTCCCAAAGCGCTTCACAGAACACACTGTAAAGTGAATTGACTGTATATTTGTGGGCGAACGCGACAGCCAATTGCGCACAGCAATGTCCCACAAACAGTCGTAGATTGAAAATGACCAATTTATTATTGTTTGGTTTTGGAGGGATTATTATTAGGTGTGTGGAGTAAGGAAACTTGCCCAAGGTTTCGCCCTGCCTGGGATTGAACTCAGGTCTCTCACTTGCAAAGCGAGTGCTCAACCATTGAGCTACAGGACTCCACTAAATGCAAAAGCTCCAATCGTGTAGTTAAGCAACTGTGGCAGACAAAAGAGGTTAGAGACTAAAAGAAAAGGCTTACTCAAATGCAAGAAAAAGTGGGAATGCAGAGGACTGGGGGAGCTACAAAAGACAACAAAGGGATACAAAGAAAGTAATAAGAGGAGCAAAAAGGGAGTATGAAACAACTTGCAAGGGATATTAAAATCAATAGTAAATCAATAGTAAAAGCTTTTATAAATATATTAAAAGAAAGAGAATGGTCAAGGGGAATGTGGGTCCGTTAAAGACAGCTGTAGGTGAGACTATAACGGAAAATAAGAAAATGGCTGACTTGTAAATAAATATTTCGCTACCATTTTTACAGTAGAGGATGAGGACAAAATACTAGCTGTACAGGGGAACCTAAAAATAAGTCAAAAGAGAAATGCTTAATAAAATTAATATAAATAAAAAAATGGTGATGCAGAAAATAATGAGACTCAAGATACGCAAATCTCCAGGACCTGATAGGTGATCCACCCCAGGGTGTTGAAGGAAAAAGGAGAGGAAATTGCAGATGTATTCGTAATAATTTTCCAAAGCTCACTAGATTGGGAATTGTGCCCTTAGATTGGAAAATTGTGAATAATTTAAGAAGGGAGGGAAGGAGAAACCAGGAAACTACAGACCTGTCAGCTTAACGTCAGTTGTAGGGAAAATACTGGAATTCATCATCAGGGACAGAGTGACTGAACCCTCGGACAGGTATGAGCTAGTCAAAGAGAGTTGGCATGGGTATGTGAAGGGTAGGTCGTGTCGACTAAGCTAGTTGAATTTTTTGAGGTGGTCACTAAAATGGCAGATAAGAGATTGTCTATGGATGTTGTTTATATGGACTTTATAATAATAATAATAATCCTTGCATTTGATGTAGCGCTTTTCATGTCTTCTAGATGTCTCAAAACGCTTCACAGAATATACTGTAAAATGAATTAACTGTATATTTGTGGGCGAAATGCTGAAGCCAAATTGCGCACAGCAGTGTCCCACAAACAGTTGTGGATTGAAGTGATCAATTTATTATTGTTTTTTTCTTGAGGGATTATTATTAGGCGTGTGAAGTAAGGAAACTTGCCTAAGGTTTCGCATTTTCAGAAGGCATTTGATAAGGTTCCACGCAAAAGATTATTAGCGAAAAAGGAACCGAATGGAGTCAGAGATAACTTTGTGACATGGTTGGGAGGCAGGAAACAAATAGTAGGGATAAAAGGAACATTCTCTGATTGGCGGGACATGACATGTGGTTTCCCCCAGGGGTCTGTATCAGGACCCCAGCTATTCGCCATATATATATATATAAATGACTTGGATAAAGGAATAGAAAGTTTTATATCCAAGTTTGCAGATGACACTAAGCTAGGAGGCTCAGTAATTTGTGTAGGTGGGAGTAGGAAGTTACAAAGGGACTTAGACAGATTAAATGAGTGGGCAAAGCTGTGGCAGATGGAGTTCAATGTAGGGAAGTGTGAGGTCATCCACTATGGACTGAAAAAAGATAAAGCAGAATATTTTCTTAATGGGGAGAAATTATAACTGTGGAGGAGCAAAGAGATGGGTGTCCATATACACAAAGCACTAAAAACTAGATCCCGGGTGCAAAAAATTAATCAAAAAGGCGAATGGAATGTTGTCCTTTATCTCAAAGGGCCGGGAATACAAAGGGAGTAGAAATGATCCTTCAGCTGTATAGAGCGTCAGTCAGACCCTATCTGGAGACTGCGCTCAGTTTTGGGCACCACACCTCAGGAAAGATATATTGGGCCTGGAGGGGGTGCATCGCAGGTTCACCAGATGTTACCAGGCCTAAAAGGTTAAGTTACAAGGAAAGGCTGCGCAAACTTGGATTGTATTTCCTTGAGTTTAGAAGGTTGAGGGCTGATTTGATTGAGGTGTTTAAGATGATAAAGAGATTTGATAGGGTAGATACAGAGAAGCTATTTCCTCTGGTGGGGGAATCCGAATCAAGGGGCATAGTCTTAAAATTAGAACCAGGCCATTTAATAGTGGAATCAGGAAGCATTTTTTCACTCAAAGGATGGTAGAAATCTGGAATTCTCTCCCCCAAAAGGCCTTGGATGCTGGATCCATCCACACCTTCAAGAGTGAGTTTGATAGATTTTTGGTAGGTCAGGGTATTAAGGGATATGGGGAGAAAGCAGGAAATTGGAATTGAATGGATTAGTTGAGGTACAGATCAGCCATGATCTAATTAAATGGCTCGAAGGGCTGAACGGCCTCCTCCTGTTCCTATATTCCTATGTAGTCCAGTCTCTCCATTCCCTCAGTCTTTCTGGTTGCCCTCTTCTGTATCCTCTCGATTTCTCCCATATCCTTTTTGTCCTGCGGCGACCGGAACTGTACACAGTACTAGTATGGTCGCACCAGTGATTTATACAATGGCAGGATTACCCCACTATTTCAGCTTGCTATTGATCTTTTGATACATCCTAACATCTGATTTGCTTTACTTACTGCCACAGAGCATTGTTGCAAGAGGTTCAATTTATTATCAATTAGAACCCCCAGGTCCTTTTCATTTTCCATGCATATTATTTTCATTCCGTTCAA